GTCTCTGTGGCACTGTGATGTCACATGAAGGGTGTCTCTGTGGCTCTGTGATGTCAACTGAAAGGTCGAAAGGTCTCTCTGTGGATCGGTGATGTCACTAGTAGTGTGCTCTGTGGATCGGTGATGTCACAAATAGTGTCTTTTCTGTTGCTCTGTGACATCACCTGAAGGGTCTAGCATGCACCTCTGTGATATCACCAGAAATGTTATTCCTGTGGCTTTGTGATGTAACCAATAGTGTCTTTGCTGTGGCTCTTTGATGTCACCTCTAGGGTCTCTCTGTGGCACTGTGATGTCACTTGGAGGGTCTCTCTGTGGCTCTGTGATTTCAACTTAAGCATCTCTGTGGTTCTATGATGTCACCAGAAGTGTCTGTCTGTGGCTCTGTCATGTCACGTGAAGGGGCACTGTGGCTCTGTGATGTCACCTGAAGTGTCTCTTTGTGTCTCTGTGATGTCACCTTAAGCGTCTCTATGTGGTTCCTTGATGTCACCTGATATGTCTGTCTGTGGCTCTGTCATGTCACCTGAAGGTTCTCTGTGGCTCTGTGATGTCACATGAAGGGCGCCTCTGTGGCTCTGTGATGTCACCTAAAGTGTCTCATATGGCTTTGTGATGTCATCTGAAGGGTCTCTCTGTGGCTCTTTGATTTCACATAAAGCGTCTCTCTGTGGCTCTGTGATGTCACCAGAAGTATCTCTCTGTGGCTTTGTTTATCACCTGAACGGTCTCTCTGTTGATCTGTGATGTCACTTGAAGTGTCTCTCTGTGGCTCTGTCATGTCACCAATTGTGTCTCTCCTGTGGCTCTGTGATGTATCTGAAGGGTCTCTTTCTGGTTCTGTGATGTCACTTGAAGCATCTCTGTGGCTCTGTGATGTCACCTGAAGTGTCTCTCTGTGGCTGTCTGGTGTCACATTAAGCATCTCTCTATGGCTCTGTGATGTCACATGAATTGTCTCTCAGAGGCTCTTTTAGATCACCTGAAGGGTCTCTCTGTGGCTCTGTGATGTCACATGATGTGACTCTCTGTGGCTCTATGATGTCACATGAAGTCTCCCTCAGTGGATCTGTGAAAACACCTGAAGGTTCTCTCTGTTGCTCTGTGATGTCATCTAAAGGATCTCTCTGTGTATCGGTGATGGCAAATGAAGGTATTTTCCAGTGGCTCTGTGATGTAACCTGAACTTTCTTTCCTAATTCTATGTGATGTCATCAATAGTGTCTTTCCTTTGGCTCTGTGACATCACCTGAAGGGTCTATCATGTGCCTCTGTGATATCACCAGAAGTGTCACTCCTGTGGTTCTGTGATGTCTCCTGAAAATTCTCTCCCGTGTCTCTGTGGATGTCAAAAGAAGAGTCATATTCTGGTTCTGAGATGTCACCTGAAGAGTCTCTTAGTGGCATTGTGATGTTATCTGAAGGGTCTTTCTTTGGTTATGTGATGTCACTTTAAGCATCTCTCTGTGGCTCTGTGATATCAACTGAAATTTCTCTCTGTGGCTCTGTGATGTCACCTTAAGCATCTCTCTGTGACTCTGTGGCTCTTTGAGATCTTCTCAAGTATCTCTCAGTGGTTCTGTGATGTCACCTGAAGCGTCTCTGTGGCTCTGTGATGTCACATGAAGGGAGTCTCTGTGGCTCTGTGATATCAACTGAAGGGTCTCTCTGGGGATCATTGATGTCACAAATAGTGTCTTTCCTGTTGCTCTGTGACATCACCTGAAGTGTCTAGCATGCACCTCTGTGATATCACCAGAAATGTTATTCCTGTGGCTTTGTGATGTAACCAATAGTGTCTTTGCTGTGGCTCTTTGATGTCACCTCTAGGGTCTCTCTGTGGCACTGTGATGTCACTTGGAGGGTCTCTCTGTGGCTCTGTGATTTCAACTTAAGCATCTCTGTGGTTCTATGATGTCACCAGAAGTGTCTGTCTGTGGCTCTGTCATGTCACGTGAAGGGGCACTGTGGCTCTGTGATGTCACCTGAAGTGTCTCATGTGGCTCTGTGATGTCACCTGAAGTGTCTCTCTGTTGCTCTGTGATGATACCTGAATGGTCTCTCTTTGGCTCTGTGATGTCAACTGGAGAGTCACTCTGTTTCTGTTTGATGTCACCTGAAGTTTTCTCTGTGGCTCTGAAAAGTCACATGAAGGGTCTCTTTGTGGCTCTGTGAGATCACCTGAAGGGTCATTCTGTGGCTCAGTGATGTCACCTGAAGTGTCTCTCTGTGGCTCTGTGATGTCACCTGAAGTGTCTGTCTGTGGCTCTGTCATGTCACCTTAAGCGTCTCTCTGTGGTCCTGTGATGTCACCTGAAGTGTCTGTCTGTGGCTCTGTCATGTCACCTGAAGGGTCTCTGTGGCTCTGTGATGTCACCTAAAGTGTCTCATGTGGCTCTGTGATGTCACCAGAAGTATCTCTCTGTGGCTTTGTATATCACCTGAAGGGTTTCTCTGTTGATCTGTGATGTCACTTGAAGTGTCTTTCTGTGGCTCTGTGATGTCACCTGATGTGTCTCTCTGTGGCTCTATGATGTCACCTGAAGGGTCTCTCTGTGGCTCTGTGATGTCACCTGAATGGTCTCTCTGTGGCTCTGTGATGTCAACTGAAGGTGTCTCTGTGGATTGGTGATGTAACAAATACTGTCTTTCTTGTTGCTCTGTGACCTCACCTAAAGGGTCTATTATGCACCTCTTTGATATCACCAGAAATGTTATTCCTGTGGCTCTGTGATGTCACCAATAGTTTCTTTGCTGTGGCTCTTTGATGTCACCTAATGGGTCTCTCTGTTTCACTGTGATGTCACCTGAATTGTCTCTCTGTGCCTGTGTGATTTCACCTTAACCGTCTCTCTGTGGTTCTGTGATGTCACCTGAAGTGTCTGTCTGTGGCTTTGTCATGTCACCTGAAGGGTCTCTGTGGCTGTGTGATGTCAAATGAAGGGTGACTCTGTGGCTCTGTGATGTCACCTGAAGTGTCTCATGTGGATCTGTGATGTCACCTGAAGTGTCTCTCTGTTGTTCTGTGATGATACCTGAATGGTCTCTCCGTGGTCTGTGATGTCCACTGGAGAGTCACTGTGTTGCTGTTTGATGTCACCTGAAGATTTCTCTGTGGCTCTGTAATGTCACCAGAAGGGTCTCTCTGTGGCCTTGTGATGGCACCTGAAGGGTCTCTCTGTGGTTCTGTGATGTCATCTGAAGTGTCTTTCTGTGCCTCTGTGTTGTCAACTAAAGATCTCACTGTGGCTCTGTGATGTCAACTGAAGTGTCTTTCCAATTTTCTGTGATGTCACCTGAAGTGTCTTTCCTGTGGCTCTGTGATGTCACCAATTGTGTCTTTCCTGTGGTTCTGTGATGTGATCTGAAGGGTCTCTTTCTGGTTCAGTGATGTCACTTGAAACATCTCTCTGTGGGTCTGTGATGTCACCTGAAAGGTCTCTCTGTGGCTGTGTGATGTCACCTTAAGCGTTTCTCTGTGGCTCTGTGATGTCACCTGAATAGTTTCTCTGTGGCTCTGTGATGTCAACTGAAGTGTCTCTCCGTGGATCAGTGATGTCACGAATAGTGTCTTTCCTGTTGCTCTGTGACATCCCCTGAAGGGTCTAGCATGCACCTCTGTGATATCACCAGAAATCTTATTCCTGTGGCTCTGTGATTTCACCAATATTGTCTTTGTTGTGGGTCTTCGATGTCACCTGAACGTTCTCTTTGTGGCACTGTGATGTCCCCTGAAGGGTCTCTCTGTGGCTCTGTGATGTCATCTTAAGGTCTCTCTGTGGCTCTGTGATTTCACCTGAATTGTCTCTCTGCGGTTCTGTGATGTCACCTGAAGTGTCTGTCTGTTGGTCTGTCATGTCACCTGAAGGGTCTCTGTGGCTCTCTGATGTCACATGAAGGGTGCCTCTGTGGCTCTTATGTCACTTAAAGGGTCTCATGTGGCTTTGTAAGGTCACCTGAAGTGTCTCTCTGTGGCTCTGTGATGTCACCTGAATGGTATCTCTGTGTTTCTGTGATGTCATCTAAAGGATCTTTCTGTGTATCGGTGATGGCAACTGAAGGTACTTTCCAGTGGCTCTGTGATGTAACCTGACATGCCTTCCTATTTCTCTGTGATGTCATCAATAGTGTCTTTCCTTTGGCTCTGTGACATCACCTGAAGGGTCTATCATGGCCTTTGTGATATCACCAGAATTGTCACTCCTGTGGTTCTGTGATGTCTCCTGAAAATTCTCTCCCGTGTCTCTGTGATGTCATAGAAGGGTCATTTTCTGGTTCTGAGATGTCACCTGAAGATTCTCTAGTGGCTTTGTGATGTTATCTGAAGGGTCTCTCTGTGTTTATGTGATGTCGCTTTATGCATCTCTCTGTGTCTCTGTGATGTCACCTGAAGGGTCTCTGTGGCTTTGTGATGTCACCAATAGTGTCTTGGTCTCTCTGTGGCTCTGTGATGTCAACTGAAGAGTCTCTCTGTGGATCGGTGATGTCACAAATAGTGTCTTTTCTGTTGCTCTGTGACATCACCTGAAGGGTCTAGCATGCATATCACCTGAAGGGTCTCTCTGTGGCTCTGTGATGTCAACTGAAGAGTCTCTCTGTGGATCGGTGATGTCACAAATAGTGTCTTTTCTGTTGCTCTGTGACATCACCTGAAGGGTCTAGCATGCACCTCTGTGATATCACCAGAAATGTTATTCCTGTGGCTTTGTGATGTCACCAATAGTGTCTTTGCTGTGGCTCTTTGATGTCACCTGTAGGGTCTCTTGTGGCACTGTGATGTCACCTGAAGGGTCTCTCTGTGGTTCTAGGATGTCACCTGAAATGTCTCTCTGTTGCTCTGTGATGATACTGAAAGACCACTGCCCCTTAGCTCTTAAGTTTGCCTCCTACATCGTTTTGCTTACTACCCCCACCGCACTCAAAGTAGACGGCATTGCAGCTTGGATACATGCCTCTCATGTAAAACCAGCCCGACCCGCCGATTCAGCCACTGCATCAGAATGGACCGCGAACCACACTCAAAATCCTTTGAAGATAAGACTCTCTCGTACACCCTCCTGTTGATTGTTTGTCTGTTTACCCCCCATCTAGCAACCAACCCCCACAGGGTTTATAATATCACCTGGAAAGTAGCCAACCTAGAGACCGGGGAAATAGCCAACCTCAGCACTTATATAGGGACTATACACGATGGGTTCCCTCCTCTCTATGTCGACCTATGTGACCTAGTGGGGTCTGATTGGGATCCCTCGGACCAGGAACCATTCCCGGGTACGGATGCCATTAGCCTGGGGGAAGGATGAGAACATGGAAAAAGGATTTTATGTCTGCCCCGGTCATAAACCAACCGACAAATGCGGGGGGCCACAGGAGGGATATTATGCAAGCTGGGGATGTGAAACCACAGGAGATGCTTATTGGAAACCCTTCTCCTCTTGGGACTTCATTACCCTCAAAAGGAGGGAAATCCCCGGGTACATAGAGACAGGGTCACGGAAATGTGGGCTTAAAATCTGTGGACCCTGTTATGACAGTACCAAAGGGGGAAATATTAAAGGCGCCACCCCCGGAGGAAAATGCAACCCCCTCATCCTAAGGTTCACAGATGCTGGAAAAAGGACTACTTGGGATAGTCCTAAAGTCTGGGGACTCCTGCTGCACCGAGCAGGGAAAGATCCGGTGACCTTATTCTCCCTGTACAGACAAATTACTCCCCTAAGCCAACAATCAGTCGGGCCAAACCCAGTAATAGCGGACCAGAGGGCCCCAACCCAATTCCAAGTCCCTGAACCCCCTACCTTCCCTAAAGCTTTCACTCCTACCCCAGGTGCTGTTATCTCCTCCCCCTCCCCAGACGCCCTAAACATCAAGATAACCAGGGACCCTCCAGGTACCGGAGATAGATTATTACAATTAATCCAAGGAGTTTACCAGGCCTTAAATTTTTCAGACCCCAACAAGACTCAGGAATGCTGGTTATGCCTAGTTTCCCGGCCTCCATATTATGAAGGTGTGGCAGTACTGGGCAACTACTCTAACCAGACCTCAGCACCTACCAGTTGTGGAGCAGCCATGCAACACAAGCTCACAATATCTGAGGTCTCAGGAAAGGGGCTATGCATAGGCAGGGTTCCTCCATCACATCAACAATTATGTAACCAAGTAGAGCCATTATCTCAAGACAGCCGATACCTTATTGCCCCTTATGGAACTTATTGGGCTTGCAGTACTGGCTTGACTCCCTGTGTCTCTACCACTGTCCTCAATACCACCATTGACTTTTGTATATTGATAGAGGAAAATCAACCCGATATAAGAGGGAGCCAATATCCTTTACCGTGGCCCTATTATTAGGAGGGATAACAGTGGGGGGCATAGCAGCTGGCATAGGGACCAGTACAGTTGCCTTACAGGGAATTAATCATTTTAAGCTTCTACAACAACCATGCACACAGATATCCAGGTCCTAGAAGAGTCAGTCAGTGCACTCGAGAAATCCTTAACATCACTCTCTGAGGTAGACTTGCAGAACAGACGAGGGCTAGATTTATTATTTCTACAGGAAGGAGGACTATGCGCTGCCCTCAAGGAAGAATGCTGTTTTTATGCAGATCATACAGGAATAGTTAGGGACAGCATGG